TGTAGCAAATAAAGTCAGAGAAACGACAGGAACCAACTGTAGGACCTTGGGGTCCCAGCAAGGATGTTAGTTATACAGTAAAGGGCTTGGAGGCAAAAGTGCAGAGTCATATCTTATGTTTAAAGCTGCTCTGTGGAGAACAGGCTGCAGGGGAATGGGCAGTAATCAAAGCCAGGTGGGCCTAGGAGCGGAGTGGGCAGTGGTTGCAGAAGGGCTCAGGCACTGGCCCTGTTGGGGAGGCGAAGCCTGCTGGAGCGCCCAGTGGCTGGGTACGTGGGCGAGAGAACAAGAAGAGCCAAGGTGGAACCCACAGTTTTCACACGAGCAGCCGGAAGCACACAACTGCCACTTCTGAGACAGACAGATGGAAAGAGAGGAGTCTCAGATGTGGTAGGCTGGAGGTGAAAACCTGGTAGACCTCCAGGTGGAAAGGCCAGAGGCAGTTAGGTGCATGAGCCTTCTTTGCCCAGCCCCCAACCTCCCCCTCCAGCCTCTGCCTCTCCTGGAGCTGCGACCTCTGTGCGCACCTGCTGCCGGCCGCCTCACGGACCTCTCCCAGGCACAGATCTCTCAGCGGCCCCTCCTCCCGGCAGCGCAAGGCTGTCCCTCCAGCCGGAGCCTGGGGTCCGTCCTCGTGGGGGCCAGGGTCTCCCTCGTCCCCGCATCCGGTCTGCCAGCACACCGCAGCCTTGTACTGCACAAAGAACTCTCAGAGTTCCTCCCTAGCTGCTTTCCCTCTTTCCTGTCTTATTTCGCCACACCAAAGTGACCTTGTCAAAGCATGTGGGAGCAGGTGACATTCCTCTGCTCAGCCCCAGGCCACCGCTACCACCGGGGGCTTCTGTTGTCCTCATGGTGAAGGTGGCGGGCCCATGTCTCCAACCTAATGCCCCTGGCCCCCGCCCTGCCAGCCAGCCCACCACCTTTCAGTCCCTCAAACAGGCCACATTCTTCCCCACCTCAGAGCCTCAGACCTGCTCTGCTCTTCCCTCTGCCTGGAGGCCCTGTGGCTGGTTTCTTCTACTCCTGGTCTCAGCTTTAGTGCCACCTCCTCACGGAAGCCTTCCCTGATGACCCAGGAAGGATTGCATCACCCAGTTATTCTCTCCCATAGCACCTCTCCATGGTTTTGTAATCTGCATTTATTAGTTGATGATTTTATAAACTCCCCCCACCCCGACCCCCAGCAGTAGACTCCAGAGTCTATTCTGCTCGCCCTGGATCACTCCGGGGCCTGGGCCTGGTACATGAGAGAAACTTGATAAATATGTGTTGAGTGAATGTACATATACTGCCTCTGCCACTCAACTTGGATATTAGTAAATATGAGTGAGTTGTTGAGTAGATGGATGGACTCTCTCAAAGTTGGCCAGTAAATGAACGGGAAGCCTGTTTTTTTCCCATTCTGGAATTGGCATAACTACTTTCCCGTATTTCGGTGTCCTAGATGGGCTCTCACATTCTTAAAGGCCATCTTGAAGAATGTGGGCTTGTCCATGAGCCTGCGTGCTGCCGCCGCCGCCACTGCATGCACCCCACGAGAGCCCACAGTCGTGCCACGCCACCCTGTCCCTGCCTTATCTGTTTCACAATTTCCTGTCTGGGCCCTTGAAATCTTGATTTGCAGTTATTTGTCTTTCTGCTCTTCTCGGTGCCCTCTTAAAGCATTCTTTATTATTTCAGTCCTAAGAACACAAGCCCCGTTGAAAGGAACACGATTTTAATGAAGCCTGCTTGGAGATGGGCTTGATGGTGCGGGGTGGGGGCCGTCAGGGTGGTGAGGGCCCTGCGCCTCTGTCCCAGGGAGCATCCTGAACACCAGGAGCTCGCTCAGGCCCCAGCCAGTCCAGAATCTCCGCTCCATGCTTTCTTTGCCATGGGGGGCAGTTCTCTTCCAGAATCAGATGCAGCCATTCTCTTTGGATGGGCTGGATGTTTAACTGGGTCTGCCATAAACAGCATCTGTCAGCCACCCTCTGCACTAGGCACCAAGATACAGCAGTAGGAACCTGGATTTAAAAGGGGAAATACACAAGTTTGATAGGCAAAAATTAAGAAATCTGGTCATGCCAGACACTGGAGAAGACACGGATCCACTGAGAGTCTCTGGCCTGTGGGCAGAAGCGTACATTGGTACTTTATTTATCTAGCAGACACGAGCCCTCACTTGCTCCTGACCCAGCAGTTCTGGTCCAGGTCCCACGTCTTCCAGAACCTTCCTTGCACTGTGCATCAGGCGGGAATCTTGTTTGAGAGGGAATTCATTGCATCATTTTCCAGGGAAAAATTGGAAATGACCCATGTGCGCATCAGTAGGAGGCTGAATGGTGGTCTGTGTGTGCCGTGTGACATACAGCATCAGCAACAAATGAGCTGCAGGTGTAGGCGGCACAGGCAAGAACTCTAAAGTTCAAACACTCAGAAAACAAAGTATTGATTAGGCATATGTACTACATATGTAGTGAGCCTCCGCACAACCATGTACACGTATATATATAAAAAGAAAGGAACGCCACACACCAAATTCAAGAGAGTGGTTGCCTCCAGCTGGGGGGCAGGCAGGAGAACCTAGGTGGTGGAGGAGCACAGAAAGAAAGTGAAGTTATTGGTAATGTTTTAGTTCTCAGGGTGGATGATGGGGCCATGGATATTTACCCTATTGTAATTTAACTCAGTAGGTACGAGGAGGCACAGACTTGGCAGAACCATAAAGCAGCAATGGCAACACAGGAAGTCAGGTTCAGAGCAACCCAAGGAGAGTAACCAGCTCTGTCTGGAGTGAGCAGGGAAGCCGTTCCAGGAGGTCCCCTGACATGAACAGGAATTTTAGGTGGAAGAAGTCCCAGGGAGAAGGGTCCTCACAGGCAAAACGAATATGTGGTTCTATATGTAGGGAATTGTTCAAGCTTCCCCTGGTTGTGGCTTCATGTGGTGGGAGGCTCCAGGGAAGGCCATGAGGAGAAGCCAGGCAAGCAGAAGTCCTTGGTGGGGCAGCAGAGGGAACATCAGGAGGTGCAAGAGCCCCTACCCTCCCTGAGCAGCTTACCCAATGTGGGGGGTGGGGGACTGGCGGCCAGGGGGCTGATTCCCCATAGAATTTCACATGACCAGAGGATCTTCCCGTTCACAACAGCTACACCCAAAAGGTTTGAAAGTGGTGATGTGCAAGAGGGGAGCCCGTGTAGAAGTCAGTGCCAAGGAATTGCATCATCCAACATGTGTTTTTAGAAAGCTGGCCTGGAGAAGGGAGATTGGTGAGGTGGGGGCCAGAGGACAGCTCACTGGGCGGCTACAGGCCTCGGGGGGAAGAGCTGTGATTCGGGGCCTGCCTCGCTGGGCAGACGCTTAGTGTAAGATAATATTCTCCAGTTACTCTGAGGTGCATTCCTGAAAATCTTAGTTTCCCATTGCCCTTGTAGACCATTTCAGAGATGTTTTATGTTTCTCTTTGATTGATCTTGGCTGTGGCTTTTGACACTGCACTTCTCACTTTCTCTGCCCCCTGACCTCTTGGTTAGGTAGTTAATGATCTTTAAACAAACACTTGAGTATTATGGCTCTCCAGGAAAAGGCCTGGCCTCCTGCGCCTGGAGCCGCTCAGCATTCTCCCTTTATCCAGGGAGAAAACGAGTGCTCCCCACACCCGGGCTTTGCAGATGGGGATGCTTGCAACCTGGAGGCCAAAGTATCTTTAACTTAACAAATTTTGATGAGGTTTTCTGAAATACATTACCCATTTCTTTGCTGCACTAAGCGTGATCTCATCTCCTCTCCTCTCCGACAGTGGACCTTAGTAGGAATGTTCATTGATTTCGTGAACGTTTATTAGAGCCTTTCCTATGTCTGTTCCTGATTTACAAACTGTGGGTGCAGAAATCTGCCTGGTGTAGTAGTTGGTGTGGTAGTTTCCAAACAGAGATAAGATCAGGTTACTCCTTTGCCTAAACTCCTCTGCGACTTCCGGCCTGCCCTCTCCTCCTTGCCCTCCCTGCTGCAGCCCTCCCGCCTCTTTGTTTATTTCTCAGACCCACGGTGCCTCCATCCTGGGCCTATACATTCATTAGCTCCCCTGTTCAGAGCTATCTTTTTCTGGACCTTCACATAACTTCTTATAATTAGGTCTTAGCTGAGTCATCACCTCTAGAGGTCTTCCCTGACCACCTGCTCTAAAAAGCCAGACCTCCCCCAACACCCTAGGCCTTCTCTTTATGTTATATATGGTATACATATTATATGTAATATAGTACTTTATATATAATAATGTATATAATTATGTTAGTATTTACACACAAAGTCTTATATATTAATTCTATCAGTACAAACTTAGTTAATGTTAATGTATTCGTAGTTTTGTTGCCGTTCCTCACTCTGTTCCTACCCCCAGAACAGCACCTGGCACACTGTAGTCCCTCAGCGTGACCTGCCCTGGAGAAGCCCAAGCCCACAGGCTAGCAGGCAGATTGGTGCAGAATAGGCAATGACAGCAGAGCAGGCTGTGTATGACTCAGAGGGGCTGGGGTAGCACCAAAGAGAGAGGGACAGATCCTGCCCACTGGGGGTCAGGGTAGACTTTCTAGAGCAGCGGGGTTTGGCCTGGGCTTTCAAGGACAGATGGCCATAGCTTGGCAGTCTGAGGACCTGGGGGGCTATTTTGCATATGGTGACAAGCCTCTACAGAGGGCTCAAGGCAAGAAAGTGCTGGAATGGAGTCTGGAGTGGAGTAGCGACTAGAAGGATGGAGGGAGCTAAGGTAGCTCAGGATTTGGCTGCCGTGACCACCGCCCACATCCTGGACCAGGGTGCCCTGTAGGCCTCGTGTTTGCAGGGTGGAGCTTGCTCTGGCCAAGGGGAGTCTGAGCACCCCAGAGCTCCTCTGGGCTGCCATGCCAGGGGCCAAGTGAGTGTTGGCAGTACTGGGATAGGGACTTCTCCAGCTGGAGCCCCTCCCCCCAGCCTCAAGGCTCTTCGTTTCATGAGCTTTCTCTTTTGCTACCCACCAGGTGGTGAAGAAGGTGAAGTCCATGCAGATGTTTCACATGCCTGTCACCTCAGCCATGCAGGGAGACCGACTGGGCATCTGCGTCACCCAGTTTGACCCCAAGCTACTGGAGCGCGGCCTGGTGTGTGCCCCTGAGTCCCTGCACACTGTCCACGCGGCCATCATCTCTGTGGAGAAGATCCCGTATTTCCGGGGGCCCCTGCAGACCAAAGCCAAGTTCCACATCACGGTGGGCCATGAGACAGTCATGGGCCGGTTGATGTTCTTCAGCCTTGCCCCCGATAGCTTTGACCATGAGCCTGTGCTGGACTCCTTCGACTTCTCTCGAGAATACCTTTTCCAGGAGCAGTACCTAGATAAGGATTTGGCACCAGTGGCGACAGACAGTGATGAGGCTAACAAGAAGACGGGCCAGGCCACAGAAGGCTGCTGCCCTCGGCAGCAGTGGGCCCTCGTGGAATTTGAGAAGCCTGTCACCTGCCCTCGGCTGTGCCTGGTGATTGGCTCCAGGCTAGATGCAGACATTCATGCCAACATGTGCCGACTGGCCTTCCACGGTGTCCTGCTCCACGGGCTGGAGGACAAGGACTATGCTGAGAGCTTCTTGCCCAGGCTGAAAGTGTATAAGCTCAAGCACAAACATGGCCTTGTAGAACGGGTAAGCAGCCCCTCCACCCATCATCCTTCCTTGTCAGGCCCCAGTGGCCGGGATGGACATAGTTGGGGTCTGTGATGAGAACCAGGGAGACCTCAGAGGCTTCTGGTCCCAACTTCTGATGTTTTAAAACAAGGAAACTGAGGCCCAGAGTGGCTGAGTGGCCTGAGTTCTGCTAGCCCTCAGTCACAGAGTGGGGCCTGAACCAAGGCAGGGGAGCCCCACTGCACCTGCTCCCATCCCTGCCCTCTACTCTGGTAGTGGAGGTGGCCCGTGTAAGGCAGAGCAGCCCTGGTCCCTCACACAAACTGGTTTCAGACAGCAGCATTTCACCTGGGCCAGAAGCCAGTAGTATCAGTGGCCCCCTTGAGCTTCAGATAAGAGGCCAGGCCTTGCCCCTCACAGCCTGATGAGCAGGCCCTCGCTCTCATGGCCTCAGTGGGGGCTGAGCCTCCATTAGGCAGGGTGGCTGCTGGGTCGTATCAACAGATATGCCAGTCATATTGACAGAGGGAGCATGGCTGGTCAATGCAGGGCAGGCCTGGCCAAGCGTGTCCTCAGCCTGTGGGGTGGGGGAAGTGGGGAGTGATGATGGCTGGGTGCCAGAGGGCAAGAGGTGGGAAGGTACAGGAAGGTGATACAGTGGGAGGGGGCAGGCTTCTGGCTTCCTCGGGTGCCTGGTATCATCACCAGATGCAGGTCTTTAGACATAGGTGAGCCAGTCTGGTTCACAGGCCTTTCATGGGAGTGGGCAGTTGCGGTAGCCTAGAGCCTAAAGGGGTCCTGAAGTCCAGGGATTACCTTCTGTCAGGTACCCCCCCCCTTTGTCTATCACTATAGGTCTCAGTGGGAATCCCTGCCTCCTGGGCCTTGAAGAGATGGGTAGAGAATGTCCAAACGTCTGTCCAAACCTCACTCCCTGATGTGGGTCCCTGCAGGGCAGGGGTGGCTGTGACTCTTGGGACTCGTCTCTGAGCTGGGTGAGCATGGCTGTGCTAAGACCCCAGTGCTGGGAAGCTCAGGTTCCAGTGGGGTCTGCCCTGAGGCCCTCAACAGGACTGCGGTTCTGTTCCTTAGATAGCGGGATGAGGGTTACCCCTCCCAATGCAGCGCCCTGCCCAAGTCAGCATAGGCTCCAGCATGGGGTCTGACCCTTACTGAGCAGGCACTCAGGAGAAAGTGTCAGAGCCTTGGGTACCAGCCAGGGTCGGGGTTTCCACTGCCACCACCCACCCTGTCTCCTTCCCCTCTCTCAGATCCCCATGTTTCTTCTCTGGAACTCTGTCACTGCAGGAACTCCCACTCTCCTCCTCCTTGTCTCAGGATTTTTCCTGGTGCTCAGGCCCGATTCCCTTCCTCTCCTGCCTGTATCTAGACCTGCCCTCTGAGGGGGAATCAGTAGAAGTTTCTTACTTACCCCCTCACAGTCCATCCAAAACTCAGGATCCTCAGCTCTGTAATCTCAGGCCTTCCACTTTGAGGCCAACCTTGCCTGCTCAGCTGGACAGGCTTGGTCACCCTGCACTGTGGCTGGAGTCCTGGAACTGGAACCATGTCTGTCCCCCACCGGCCGTGTCCCCCCGGCCCCCCCCCCCGCCACTGTTTGCTGTCTGTCCCTCTGTGAATGTTGGCTTCCTGCTCTGCAGAGCAGCAGCCTAAACTCCCAGGGCTGCCAGGAGGGGTCATGGGCCGACCATGGGGGCCACTGAAAGGCTCCATCAGCCGGGGGCCAGACCTGAGATGCTGATTGAAGACGAATGTGATAAAGTGCACGTCACTTGTTTGTCTCGCTTGATTTATTAGCAGTATTATGAAGTATAATTATTCTCTGGTGAAATATCTGTCATGGAGTAATGTCCCACTTGGTGAGTTCACAGGTCTAATTGCCCCACACAGGCCTGTTGGTGGTGGAGCAGCAGTTACTTCCTTCGAGAATGAGGAGTGTGGGTTTGTGAGGAGCAAGTAAACATACTATCAAGTGCCTCTTGCCTCCTAAGGGCACTGGGGAGAGCCAAGGAGATGTGCTGACCCAAGCCATACCACCAATCTAGGGCATCCCTGGGGCCACCAGCCCTTTCCTCCTCAGTCCAGGGAGGCCAGAAGTGGAGGCACAAGAGCCCCAGACTCAGAGTCAACAGATCCCACCTAGACATCCTGAGCAGAAAGGCTCCCTTCAACCAGGGACTGCTTCAGACAGGGCTGTGGAGGTGTGTGGAGGGGTCCTGAGACTGGGATCCTGTAAGGAAGGAAAGGGCACAGTACCTGGGTTCCCCCTACCAGCCCCTTAAGGCCCTAGCCGCATGGACACCTGTCCTGTGCTACAGATTCCCTTCTGGGCCCAGGGGCAGGAATACACCTGCCTCCTGCCTACCTCCACCCCATCCCTTCTCTATTTACTTAGCACCTACTGTGTGCTATTACTAGCTGCATACATTGTTTTGAATTCTTACAAAAATTCAATGAGGAGGTTATTACTTTTCCTATGTACTTTTTATGAAATTATTAAATAGATCACTTTCTTCCTCCTAAAATTATATGTAAATATTTGGGAAAAGTAATATATGTGCATGGTAAAAAATAATTCAAACAACACAAAAAGTTACTCAAAAAAAAAAAGCTAGTTTTATTCCTACTCTGAACTCGGGCCATCGGGCCCCTCTGCAAAGGGAGCCACATTGGAAACCAGCTTAAGAGATGTGAAGCAACCTGCCCGAGGTCACAGGATGGTCAAGTCGGGATTTGAACCCAGCACTGACTGGCCTCTGAGCCGTTATCTTTCCAGCATGTCTGGTAGATTCTTGCCCAGTGAGTTGAGAGGCTGGCATGCTCTCAAGAAGCTGGAGTATCCTTGGCAGGAGACTTTTCTTCCTAGTCAGGTTGGTAAGCATTGAACTTGGGATCACACAGACTGGGCTCAAACCCTTAGCTGTGCCATGTAACAACTGTATGCCTTGGGGAGCCATTTTATTTCAACAGCCTCATTCATTTGAGGAGCAAACAGTCTCCACCTCACAGGTGAAGTGGCTTCATATGTAAGAGTTGAGTCTAGCTCAGGGGAAGCAGGAAGGAGATTTCCTTGTACAGCTCATGAGTAGAAGGCCGGACTTATTCCAACAGAGAGCCCCATTTGCCTTGAGCAGGCCCCAGAGTACACAGAGATTTTCAGAGCACTTGGTTGGCCACAGCCTTTGCCATGTGGCAGACTGGTCAAACATGCAGGCCTGGGCTTCAGTCCCAGCCTGACCACCTCCTAGTGTGGAAATGTGGGCGGATCCAGGGAATTTCACAGCGCTGCACCATGGGCTGGGAGCTCAGCTTGGGCCTCTAAGACATCCTCCATTTATAAACAAGGAAGGCCCAGCCCTATATGGATATGTGTTGAATGGACACTTTCCACCTGGACAGACTTAAGGCATATAGTCCTGAGCCCATTGCCTAAAAGACATTATTCATTCATATATCCAGATGTTTACTTAGCTCCTGTGTGTGATGGGGATATAGCAAGGTGGACAGAGTTCTTGTTCTCATGGGGGAGACTGACAAGGAACAGTACCTTAGATGCTTTCAGGTAGTAGTAAGTTCTAGAAAGAACGTAACAGTGAAATAAATACAAAATGCTGAGGACAGTGCATGGCACATAAGGAGGCCAGCTGTTAGCCTTCCCTGGGTTTTCTCTTACTTCTGTGCTCTGCTTCACTTACACTGGAGGATGGGTCAGACTCCCCTACAGATGTAGCTTCACTCATTGGTGTCACCTACAGTGTCTGTGGCCCGTGGACCACATCCAGGCAATTGGCCTTGCCCCAAATCTAATCATCTTTAACAAGCTTGTTTTCTCTAGATACTTTTTTTAGCAGCTGCAATCAAACACTATTTAATTAACTTACCACCAGTAAATGGCTTTCCTTGCTTGGCTAACAAATGAACCACTTGCAAACTTACTTTGATTGTAGCCTATTCTCTCTCTCTCTCTCTCTCTCTCTCTCTCTCTGTTTTGTTTTGTGAAGAAATTCTGCTGTGATGAGATGTACTGTTCGAAATTGTCTCATTTTTTTTCTGTGAGCTGGGAATATTGTGATGTCAGTGTATGTTGTATTAACACAGCCAATAACGAACACAGAGCTTTGCCATGTAATTCGATAAAATGATAATCCACACCTCACTGAGCATTGAAAGTGTGACATTCGAAGTCCACTTTTCCTGTTATGACATGGTGCCTATGCACTGGTAATAAAAATGAATAAATAAAACCTATGGCTGGGTGAGATGCTGTGGAGCTGTCCCAGAGTTATGGCACCCAATACTTCCTAGGTCTCTGTCACAACTGCTCAACTCTGACCCTGGGGCACAAAAGCAGCCGTAGACAAGGTAGAAGCGAGAAGGTGTGGTGGGGTGCCAGTAAGACTTTATCGATTGACACTGAAATTTGAATTTCTCATAGTTTTCATACATCATGAAATATTCTTCTTTCGATGCTTTTCAGTCCATTGGAAAATAGAAGAACCATTCTTAGCTTGAAGGCCGTACAAAAACAGATACTGGGCAGAATTTCGGCTCTAGCTATACTGTGTCCACCCCTGATCTAAATGGTAAATAGGAGTCTTGAAACAGATTGAGCATCCTGCAAGGAAAAGTCTAATCACCACCTACAACCACAAGTACTCAACTCTGTCTGCATTCCTCAGGAATTAGGTCCTGGGAAGGGAGCTCAGGTTAATAGAAATGCTCCAGAAGTCTCACCTGAGTGGGAGAGGAAGGGAAGTGAAGGTGTTCTAAAGGGCTAGTCTTTCTAGGGAGAGAGCTTGGGAAAGGGAATTAGAGCCTGTGGTGGTGAGGGAGATGCTCAGTATCCTGTTTTCAGGTAAAAATATAGAAATATGTGTCAGATTATAAACACAAAGAAGGGAAAGAAACTATGAATGGAAATGGAAAGTGTAGCAGTTCCACACACACAAAGGAAAAACTGGAATGAATTTGATTAAACCAACAAAAATGAGGGAAAT